CCAAGCCCACTACATACGTGGGTTACAAGTATATTTCCACCACAACAACATCGCCGCTGGTTTGCCTCGTATCAAAATCACTGCAGAAGGTTTGTACGACAACGCCATATACCTTTATGCTCTAATAATGATGTGTAGTGGACAACAAGAAATAGGAAGAACGATGCTCGATTCACTCGGATGGAGAACCAACAAGAAACGTGCCAACACCTGCTGGAGAAACATTAAGAAGTCACTTCATGGCGTCCAAGTTATAACTCTAGACGCCACTATGGACGCTTACAGAGAGGCTAGAGAACCAATCACATGTCACCGATACCAGATGTGGGTTCAATGTGAGCACTGCTACTATTACAAGCAGATCTACAAATTTACTTTCACAGTTTAGTAATGTCATCTTTTCCCAATGTTATCATTTCCCTTTTCCCATATTTAAGCAACTACTATTTTTTTCCTACAATACGCGTTTAAAAGACTACGGAACGAGGTTGAAACTCTAAAACCCTATAATATTAACCACCAATTTCACCATTAAAAAATATTCAAACAAACAAAAAAAAATACCAACTAAACAGTAATTGAAAAAACAAATCTACAAGACTATAAAAATTTACAGTCAATCATTCAGAAACATCTATAACTAAAGAATTAAGAACATTGTCATACACAAAATAAAAGGAAAAAAAATAACCACAAAAAACAATAAATTTAAAATTAAAACCAATAAAAATACTACGTCAACAACGTCGCTGAAACTGAGAGAAATTCGCAGAAGTAGGCTTCCGTCAATACGATTACATCAAATACATTACAAACAACAGTTGCATAATACGAGAACATTACAAAATGAGATTTTTAATAGTTTTAAAAAACATCCAAACCAAAAACATTATATAGACCCCACACCCATTCAAACGTTTGGAGAAAAAAAATTAAACTTTAAGAAATCCGTAATAATAGAGGAGATAAGATTTAAACACAAACAGCGTAATTTCAAATAAAAAAACAGTTACAAATATGAGGATGCATTAAAAACGATAATGTTGACGCTCTTTAACACAAATCTTCCTCAAAACAGAAACACAGGAAATTAATGGCATGAAATACACAGGTATAAATTACTAATCAAAGTAAATTATAAATATTAAAGACTAGAAAAATCATAAGGAACATAAATAATAAATAGTAACAAAAGACCACCCAGCGTACGTGTAACGGTACAGCAGAAATAATAACAATAAAAGCACATACAAATTCAACGCAAGATTATGCCTTATAATAAATTTATATAAAAAACGTAAACGAATTCACACGCAGAGCCACCACCACCGTCCTATATAAACAACTGCAGAACACACAGAAACTAAGAACGACATCGTCAACAGAAAAAAAAAATCAAAAAACATTTTTCGACCATTTCCATGACTCACGAACAACAAAATCCCCTCACCCTTGAATCAATACCCAAAGACATGCGTCTCCTAATTGTTTCCAAAGTTGGCCACGACTCTCCCACCGACTACGTCAACACAATTATGACATCCAAAAGCCTCAGCTTCAGTTCTGAAAACTTCATAGTTGCAAAGAATCTAAACCTCTCATCTTTGGTNCTACGTCAACACAATTATGACATCCAAAAGCCTCAGCTTCAGTTCTGAAAACTTCATAGTTGCAAAGAATCTAAACCTCTCATCTTTGGTGAAGAAGCCTGCTCTAGCTCATCGTTACCCAAATTTCCTGCAAAACTGCCTCAACGCTAACAATGCCGACGCTCACTATGTTAAAGGCATGCTAGAATTCTTCAACTCTCGTAATCAGTTTCTAGGCCTACATCACATCCACATACCCTCAAATGGCGGTCACCTCCAAGGAAGATACGTTTACGGCGTCCTCCTTATGGTCATCGGAGAAACTGACAAAGGAGTAAAAACCATTAACAAACTCGCTGATGAGCAAGGTATTCCACTGCTAGAAGATTGCATGGCAACTTTTCATAATTCGCTTCAGCACACCCAGTTTGAAATGAAGGATATCTTCCTTACGTCACTAAAACAAATGTTCCCACCCCATAACTGGCATGCCCAAATGGGGACAGATATCACGGTTTGCTCGAACTGTTTCCACTTTTTTTTGGTCACCGAGTTCTACAGAAGGATAATGGGTTTCAGTGATCTATTTGACTAAAAAAAGTCTTTGGCTTTTGTTTACCTGCTCAATTTGATTTATTTCTGTACAATTTTGCTTTACGAATAATTGGTTACACTTTGTTTTCACATAAATTTTAAGCAGAAAAACTATAAAAGCTATTTTCTCTTTTCCCTGATCCTGATACAATAAAACTTTTACATTGAAATAATGACATCTACGAGTCTAGAATTTTAACTTAAAGTCCAAATGGTAAACATCTAACCATTATGCCATCACTTTGATATCATAATCCACCATTCTCATAAACAAACCACATTCAAAAATATAACATTACCCACCAACAAATAAATTTTAAATTTAAATTAATAAAAATATCCAACAACCCGCGTGTAGTGCGGGCGGACCACTAGTTTAATATATAGGGGGATGAAACGAAAGTGAAGCATATTAAGATTCTTATTATAACAAACCAAAGTTAGCATATTAAGATTCTTGTTATAACAAACCAAAGTTTAACCTCAAAACAAAGAGAGACATAGTTGAAGATAGAGAATGAAATAGTAACACGATCAATGATAAAAGAAATGCAAACAAAACCGATCTGATTCATACTTGAGATATATTTTTCGATGTCTCACAATCTGAAGAAAGAGAATAAAACTGAGACTTGTTTCAGGTGGTCATCTCCTCTGCTCCTTTTAATCTGCATACTTGTTTGGATCCCGGATATATTCCAAACTAACCTGGTACCCTAAATCATTTATAATCCTATCCAAACGGGGTATTTATACCCGAATCCGGCCCGAAACACAATTTTTTGAATTGGTACCAGTTCAGATCCTCTGGATCCGGGAAATATGCCCCAGCCTAGTCTAGTCAGTGTTTAGGTTGTTACTGAACAATCAAACAAGTAACCTTGATTTCAAGCCATTTTGTTAGGTATATGTAAGCGGTTGGTTTGCTGAAATGTTAGTTATGTAACTCTAGTTACTGGAGTTAACATGATTACACTAGGTGCCTTGTTGTCCAAGACTCTTTGACAACTTAAACCCATTGCGTTCTAGTTTACAACTTTACTTATAGCATCGCCAGGCTGCTTTCACACAAGCATTGATACGCTTTCAAAAAATCAAACCCTGAGTCTTTTGTTACCAAATCTGCGTCATGGAGTTTTGCATTAGATCTTTTGCCTCTCCTATGGCTGAGCTCGCAGCATGCATCACTATTTTCTTAATCTACAATGAGCAGTGAGAAGACAAGTAAATAGTGAGAGGTTAAAATTAGTTTGAAATTAGACTCTCTACTTTCGAAAACGAAGTTCAGATGAGATAGTTACTGAAAGTACCTCTAAATTATCTTCGTTGGTTCTCTGGTCTTTTGGTAGTCTCCTGAACTCTTGATATAGCCTAAGGCATTCTTCTACACTCTCAGGAGCAACAAAACCAAGTGCCACTTTTATGCAAGACTATAAACAGTTTCAATTTTAGGATCACTAACACTTTAGATATATGTTCTTGCAGATTCATAACACATGAAATGTCGAAACAAAAAAAAGAGGAAGGTTTCAACTGGTTACTTACCTGTATATTCCTCACTTGGTGAGGACAACCTGCAGGGATGAAAACAGCTTCACCTAAGTGTTGCTCAAATGTCCATGGCTCTATATCTGTGCATATGAACAATAACATACATTTACTGTTCCACTTAGCATAGAAAATAAATCAGCTTTTCAATCCAAACAAGAATCTTACCGAACTCTTCCTTCGGCTGTTTCTTCTGGCTTTCATTCAAGAACAAGGTTAGGTCGTGAATTGGGTGAATAACCTGAAAATTAAACTTAGATTCCAGATCTCTCCTCAGACATTGATCATTTACAAGTTTGATGTTGTGATGATACGTACAGATTCCACAGGTTTGTTGTAGAAATGACGAAACTCAAGCTTGTGTCTCTTCAAATACTCGATAAGTTTTGGAACATCCTCTCTTCGAAAGATGTCCCACACAGCACCACCATGCATAGCCTTTGAACTCTCCTTGGCATTGCCATTAGTTTCTTTTGGAACATCCTCTTTATCCCACGGTGGAATTGAAGGAAGCGTTGGCATCATTAGTCCCTTCTCCAGCATGGGATCATCGTTACTTTGGTACTTTGCAGACAATCTCTCTGTCTTAAAACAGACGTCATTATGATTCTCGTCTTCGTTTGTCATCTTTGAACTCTCTTCTCTCACAAGACCATCACATCTCTTGTTAGCTGACTTGTTTTCACATTCACTGGCTTCTGTCTGTTGAGCAACGAGTTGTTTACGCAACTGTGCTTTTTTTACAAGTTTGTATTGCCAGGGAGGTATATCCACTTTAGTTGTGTGTGTCAGCACATTAACCTGACTCATGGCAACTCAGTTTCAGTTAGAAAGTACAAATCATTGGTTTACCTCTATGGAGAATTGAGAACGAACTGGTGTACACTTACCACGTCGGACATATCACAATGCAGCTTTGTCACAGAATCTCCTCCATCAAGCTCTTCAGGGAAACCGTACGCAATGTATGTTTTGGGCCCAAGATCTGGCTTCAAGGATTCTTTTGCGAGATTCAAGATACCAGACTTTGAGTCAGTGTAATCAGAGAAAGGTAACGCAGATATAAACTCGGCGTTATGCCTTGGAAGACGCTCTTCGAATAAAGTCGATGGAGGCCAATCCTTCAATTTCAACATTACTGGCATACCCTTGGGATCCATGCGGCCTTTCAAGTAGCCTTCAAAAAACTGATGAATATTTATTTCAACCTACAAAAGAAGGGATGGTAATGAGCTTACGTATTATAAAACACATTTCAGTTTGACTGACCTCACACCAGTCCAAGCAATCCAAAGCTCTCACGCTTTTCCCATCTCCTTTGCCATTAACTTTTGGCTTCATTTCCCTGCAAGCCCTCCACATAACCATTGGATCCCAACTTAGTCCAGATGTCTTGTCCAGAACATTTCTGACTATCACAGGTTCCGCCCTCATCCAATGCGACTGAAAATGAGCAATATCGTCCTCAACAGCATTTGGGGAGTATAAGAAGTTGTCATAAGCATTCTTCCTAAACGCCGCCCGCCTTCTGATGATGGAACTTGATTTTGCAGTGCATGAGGAACATTCATGAGAAATATCCACATCTGGTGGCCTAAACTGCAGAGTAACTTCCTCTGCATTTGTTATAAGCTTTTCAATCCAATCACATTCGTATAAGCGTCTTAACTCCAGTGTTGAAGTACCACAACCACCACACTCTTCTGGAGGGCATTGAATGCTATCGTCTGAGCTAAACTTCCAACTAGAGATATCTGGAACAGAGGCTTTGGAATTAACTGTCCCTTCTGCATTTCTCTTCCCATTGTTCTCTTTATCATAGAAGCCCTCTCTTAGTTCCTTGCAGCAGGAAAGACATACATCGCATGAACATTTTGGACAGCTTCTGTGAAAATTGGAAATGGATGTGCGGCATAGGTCACTGTCATACAAGAGTGAAAAGATTGTAAGCAGAAAAGAGAACACAGAGATGTCCGTAAAGGCGTAAAATGACATAATAAGATCCCTAACGACAGTAAGCAAACAATGAAACAGAGTACTTAATAAGATCATAATCTCATGAACCACTTACCAATATAAACACCCTAATTATTTCCCAAATATCGTTCATTTTATTGTTTCATTGATATATTAACTAGATAGGTAGATCATCTTCTCGTATATCGCCTATTTGCAACGGATATATGAAACAGTATGAAAACTCAATTACGTATAAACGAACAGCGGAGCTCTTCCCGAGTTTTTTAAATTTACCAGCATATGCGCTCATTAACGCTAACTTCGCAGCTAGTAATGTCAGATTCTGTCACAGGGACTCCTAGAAGAATAAAACAAGTTAGGTTTGTGAGTGGAAAACAGAAACAGAGAGTATTTGAGAGGACATCACAAACAAGTGAAGAGAACATACCTCTAATTGATGATTCAGTCTCTAGCTCATGGTTCTGCTCTGCATAAATACCCCTAAGAAATGGAAGAACTTTAACTAATAGGTATTGCAACCGCTTGAGCTTAACATTCTCCTCCTTTTCACTCGATCTCTGAGATTCAGAAAAAAAAAACAAAATGAAGGAATTATTGTTTCCTCTTAACTAGAATAGGTTTACATCTGAAGAGAGTGTATCTACAACCTCCTTACCTTAACAAGCAAAGGTTGACGCAAACAAGCTTTGCAGTTGCAATTCTCCATACAGAAAGGACAGGCAGCTTGAACTTCCTCAGAGGTTCTCTCAGGATACCTATAGAGAAACAAGATTCAAGAGATTCAGATTCTCATGGCACTGCAATCGTTATAGTGTGCAAGTGGAAATACTTTTACCATTTCTTGATGCAGTCATAGCAATAGCGCTTTTTAGTTTTGATGCATTTAGAGCAGAAGACAAGATCAGCCTTATCGGTTAGGTTCTTACATTGATGACAAGTCAAACCCACATGCTTTCTGCTTCCATCAGAGTCATTATCCTGCAAAAGCAAACAGTGTTACATTACAAAGATGATTCAAGCTTGTTCACAGCAATACAAACTGAACGGTAAAATTCCATTAAAAAATGTAGTTCGAAATGCAGAAAGTAAGATTAAGTTATTCAGAAATTAAACCTTCTCGGGCGTATCCATGTCTCTTTCATGGCATATTCTTCTCTTTCCTCTTCCTTTTCCTCTACTTCTTCCTCCGATTCGGTCGAATTGCGACGATCTTTTGCTGGAAACATTCTTATCTGAATCGTCGGAATCATCTGACCTAATTCGCTTCTCCTTCCTTTTCTCCATACTCTCTCACTCTCTCTCTCTCTCTCTCTCTCTCTCTCTCTCCTTCGTTGTCTGCGTTAAAGCAGGGAGTCGCCACTGCTCTTAATAGTGACAAAGTGTCGTCGTTTTGAAACAATAATACGTAATTATAGTACCGCTACGATTACGGCATGCAAAAAGGTTCCATGGTCTAGCGGTTAGGACATTGGACTCTGAATCCAGTAACCCGAGTTCAATTCTCTGGTGGTTTTGTCAGGGTTTAGGTTGTTGTTGCGCTATCAAACCACTAACCTTTATTTCAAGCCATTGTTTTTTTTTTCTGGAAATTGTTAGTTATGTAACGCGAGTTACTTGAGATAATATGATTACACTTGGTGACTTGATTTCCAAGATTCTAAGAACCTTAAACCCATTTCGTTCTAGTTTACTACTTTACTTACATCATAGCCAGGCTTTTTTACACAAGCATTGATAAGCTTTTCAAAAAACAAACCTTGAGCGCCTTTTGTTTGCATTACTAAGTAATGGAGTTTTGCATTAGACCTTGCGCTTCTCTTATGGCTGAGCTCGCAGCATGCATCACTATTTTCTTAATCTACAATGAGATTTGACATTAGCTGAAACTAGACTCTGTCTATCTTCAAAAATGACTACGTTCTGATATAATGAAATATATTCAAACTACCTCTAATCTATCTTCGTTGAACCTGTGGTCTTTTGGTAGTCTTCGGATCTCTTGTGTTAGCCTAAGGCATTCTTCTACACTTTCAGGAGCAACAAAATCAAGTGCCACCTTTATACAAGACTGTTAACAGTTTCATACTTAGGATCACTAACCCTTCAGATATAATCATATAAGTTCTTGAATCATGCTACATGAAATGTCTGGAACAAATGAAAGGAAGGTTTTAATTAGTTGCGTACCTGTATATTCCTCACTTGGTGAGGACAACCTGCAGGGATGAAAACAGCTTCACCGAGGTGTTGCTCAAATGTCCATGGCTCTATATCTGTGCATATGAACAAAATACCATACATCAGACCGTTTCGCAGTAGCAAAGAAGACAAATCCAAACAAGATTCTAACCAAATTCCTCCTTCAGCTGTTTCTTCTGGCTTTCATTCAAGAACATACTCTGGTCGTGAATTGGGTGAATAACCTGAAAATTAAACAAAAGCATAAATGCCAGATTTCTCGAAGACATTAATCATTTACAAATGTGATGTTGTGATGATACGTACCGATTCCACAGGTTTGTTATAGAAATGACGAAACTCATGCTTGTGTCTTTTCAAATACTCAATAAGTTTTGGAACATCCTCTCTTCGAAAGATGTCCCACACAGCACCACCATGCACATCCGTTTTGGAACTCTCATTGCCATTAGTTTCTTTTGGAGCATCAAGTTTCTGCTCTTGTATGGAATCTGCAATGGTACTCTCAACATGTTGTGGAGAACTATCCTCTTTATCCCACGGGGGAGTTGAAGGAAGCGTTGGCATCATGAGTCCAGTCTCCACCGTGGGATCATCGTCACTTTGATACTTTGGAGATAATCTCTCTATCTTCAAACATACGCCACTATAATTCTCCCAAGCAAATGGTTCGTTTATCAGCGTTACATTCTTCTGAAAAATTAAACCCGCGTCCGCTTTTGAATCATGACCTGACTCTTCCATAGGATCAGCTCTTTGAATGTTAGCGCAGACACCTTACATTTGAACAAACTTTCCTCAGTAAAATTGCCTATCATGCATAAACATTAGGATGGAGCTTATTGCAATACCTTCTTGTGAGCCAGACGGTCTCAAACTGCTATTTGATGGTTCTCCCACAAGACCATCGCATTTCTTAAAAGCTTCTTCTTTCAGTGACTTGTTTGCACATTCGCTAGTTTCTTCTCCCAAAATATGCAACTGGGTTTCTGCATATCGTTTCCGTGCTTCTTTTATACTTACGTATTGCCAGGGAGTTATATCTACTTTAGCTGTGTGTGTCAGCACATATACCTAACTCAAGTTCACAGAGCAATTAAAGGGGAAAAAAATAGACAGTTCAATTTCAAAATGCGGTCTATCAAGAATTAAGAAAGTGTGAGAACAAATTGGGACACGCACCGTGTCAGGGATATTACAGTGCAGCTTTGTCACAGAATCTCCTCTATCAAGCTCTTCAGGGAAACCGTACGTAATGTATGTTTTGGGTCCAAGATCTGGCTTCAAGGATTTTTCAGGAAGTTTTGTTGCGAGATTCAAGATACCTGACTTGGGGTCAGTGTAATCAGAGAAAGGTAACGCAGAAATAAACTCGGCGTTATGCCTTGGAAGGCGCTCTTCAAATAAAGTTGATGGAGGCCAATCCTCCAACTTCAGCAATTCAGGCCAACCATTGTGATGCATGCGGCCTTGCAAATAGCCTTTAAAAAACTGACGAATATTGATTTCAACCTAAACGAAAAAGGGATGAGAATGAGTATGCTTCTCAAAAAATTATAAAAGACAGAGAATGGAGTTGACTGACCTGACACCAGTCCAAGCAATTCAACGCTGTCACGCTTTTCCGATCTTCATTGCATTTAACATTGGGATTCATTTCCCTGCAAGCTCTCCACATAACCATTGGTTCCCAACTTAGTCCAGATGTTTTCTCGAGAACATTTCTGACTATCACAGGTTCTGCCCTCATCCAATGCGACTGAAAATGAGCAATATCGTCTCCAGCAAGATCAACAGCATTTGGGGAATATAAGAAGTTATCATGACCATTCTTCCTAAACGCAGTCTGCCTTGTAATGGAATCAACAGTACATGAAGAACATTCATGAGCAATATCCATATCTGGTGGCCTAAAATGCTGAGTAACTTCCTCTGCATTCGTTATCAGTTTTTCAACCCAATCACATTTACACAAACGTCTCAGCTCCAGTGTTGAAGTACCACAACCACCACGCTCTTTGGGAGGGCATGGAATGCTAGCGTCAGAATTAAGCTGCCAAGTAGATATATCCAAATGACTTGTCCTTTCTTGATTGTTCTGTAAACCTTCTCTTAGTTCCTTGCAGCAAGAAAGACATATGTCGGATGAGCAATCTGGGTTCAGACAGCTTCTGTGAAAGTTGGCAATGGATGTGCTGCAAAGGTCACTGTCGTAAAAGGGTGAAGAAACTGTAAGCGAACAAGGAATCACAAAGATGTCTAGAAAGGGACATAATAAAAAATAACTGTCATACAAAGCATCAAAGAAACACGGAAATGAAATTACTTAAATGAAATTACAAGCACCACTTACACCCAAATAACTCCCCCAAATATCGTTCAATAGAAACATCTTCCCTCGTGAACTTGGAGATAATAGCTACATAAGATTCTCTCTTCTTATTGCCTATTTGCAACGGATACAAGAAATAATGTGAAAACTCAAAAAACGTTTGTTTCCCCTACAAGAAAACCAACCAAGCATTTTTAAAGGGGAAAAAAAAAAGCAGTGTTGAAAACTTACCAGTATATGCGTTCGTCTATGTCAAGTTCAGACCTAGTAACATCAGATTCTCTCACAGGGACTCCTATAAGAATAAAAACAGGTTAGAACATACCTAAGAAATAGTGAGAGGAGAGCACAAGTGAAGACCTCTACCTCTAATTGCTGTTTCAATCTCGAGTTCACGGTTCTGCTCTGCATAAACATCCTTAAGAACAGGAAGAAGTTTAACTAACAGGTACTTCAACTGCTTGAGCTTGACACTCGCGTCCTTTTCACTCGGTCGCTGAGATTCAAGAATAAAAGAAATATTAATTCCTCTTAGCAGATTCACATTTCAAAAGTCTAAAAGAGTGATCTTGAACCTCCTTACCTTAACACGCAAAGGTTCCCGTAAACAAGCTCTGCAATTGCAATTCCCCATACAGAAAGGACATGCATCTCTAACTTGCTCACTAGTTCTCTCTGGATACCTATAATACATATTAGAGATTCAAGATTCTCATGAAACACTGCAATGGTAACATTAACGTGTGCAAGTGAAATACTTTTTTACCATCTGATAATGCAGTCAATGCAATAGCGCTTCTGAACCTTGATACATTTTGAACAGAAGATAAGATCACTTTTACTCTTGACGATTTTACATTGATGACAAGTCACCCCCACAATCTTTCCGCTTCCATCAGAGTTATCATCCTGCAAAAGCAATGACAGTGTTCACAAACGTTTCTTCTTTTGGAAATGCAGAAAGTAAGATTAAGATTATTCAGAAATTAAACCTTCTCGGCCGTATCCATGTCTCTTGCATGGCTTCCCCTTCCTCTTCCCCTTCCTCTTCCCCTTCCTCTTCCTCTTCCTCTACCTCTGCTTCTTCCTCCGATTCCGTCGAATTGCGACGATCTTTTCCTGAAAACATCCTTATCTGTATCATCGGGATCATCTGACCTAATTCGCTTCTCTTTCCTTTTTTCCATGCTCTCTCACTAAACGACTCCTTCAGGCTTTTCTGTCTACGGTTAAAGGAGATCACCACTATTGTTAGTGACAGAGCGCAGTCGTTTCAGATGTTATTTATATATTTATATATTAAGCTAAACTACGACAGATTGTCGAAAAAGTTCCATGGTCTAGAGGTTAGGACATTGGACTCTGAATTCAACATCCCGAGTTCAAGTAAGGTTTTCGTAGAACCTATTTTTTTATTGCAGCCGGTCATCTTCTATTTTTTTATTGCAGCCGGTCATCTTCTATTTTTTTATTCCAACCAATCATCTTTCTCCCCAGATATTTATGGAACCCTAAATATAACGCCGCTCTTTTCGAACATGGAGAATCTGTTGCTTGATTCAGGGGCAACTATGGAAATGATTACTTCACAGAGAGTTGGTTGTTTGTAGACGACAAAGAACTGTTTCTTACATAACGAGATTAACAACAGATGCAGAAACCAAAACCAATTGAGATAACAAGCTTAAATAACTCTTTTACTAAAAACTTTTGGTTATCAATGGTTTTTCAAAGGGCTATTTTACTTAAATAACTCTTTTACTTAAATAACTCTTTTACTAAATAACTCTTTTACTAAATAACTCTCTTAGGGGTTTGAGTTGTACGTGACTCAAGTCTATTAAAGGGCTTGAGTGTTGAACGATGAATAACACAGAAAATTTCAGGAACCTGTGATAATCCATCATGTGCTCACAAGCGCTCCTAACCCCTCACCATGAGAGAAGCTGCCTCCACATCCACTGGTAGGTTAATGATGCGCTTGGCATTACTCGAACCCAAGACCTCCACCCTTTAACAACTCTCCACAAGATAAGCTGTCACCAATTGATTTGCAGTTCAATTGGTGACAGCTTATCTTGTGGAGAGTTGTTAAAGGGTGGAGGTCTTGGGTTCGAGTAATGCCAAGCGCATCAATAACGTACCTGGGAGAGCTGAGGGCTCGGCAGGTGAGGGGTTAGAGTCGGTGCGCTGCAGCGCTGTGAGCTTCCACGGAATGAGTTGTCACAGAACCTTTCTTCTTGGTGTGTGTTTATTCTTACAATTGGTATCAGAGCTTCTTAACTAAGTGAGAAGATGAGTGAGAAAGAGATGTCACTGAACATTCCAAAGTTCGATGGAGATTATGAGCATTGGGCCATGCTCATCGAGAATTTGCTGCGATCGAAAGAATGGTAGGAACTGATCGAGATTGAAGTCACTCAGCAAGAGAGGAATGTGATCCTGACAGGAGCTCAACGGACCGAGATCGCAGAACAAAAACTCAAGGATTTGAAGGTGAAGAACTATCTCTTCGCCTCCATTGACAAGACCATTCTAAAGACGATAGCAAAGAAGGATACATCTAAGGAGATGTGGGATTCAATGCGAACGAAATTCCAAGAAAACAAAAGGGTGCAGAGTGCTCAGCTTCAGAGGTTGAAAAGAAACTTTGAACTGCTGGAGATGAAGGAAGGAGAGACTATCACAGAGTATTTCTCCATGGTGATGGTAGTGGCTAACGACATGAGAAACCTGGGAGAGGAAAAGCCGGATGCCAAGGTAGTGGAGAAGATCTTGCGTACACTGGTGGAGAAGTTTAACTATGTGGTATGCACAATTGAGGACTCAAATGATATCAAGGAACTCTCAGTTGATGAGTTGCAGAGCTCCTTACAGGTTGACGAGCAGAACCTAAGTAAAGGTGTGAAAAAAGAACATGCGCTAAAGGTGGAGTATCAAGGATGGAGAGGAAGAGGAAATCACTTCGGTAGAGGATGGTATCCAGGTCGCGGCGGTAGAGGAAGAGGCCGAGGAAGTACGAGCTTCAAGAAGGACACAGTGGAGTGTTACAAGTGTCACAAACTAGGACACTTCAAGTACGACTGTCCCGAATGGGAGAAAGGAGCCAATTACGCTGAAGAAGAGGAAGAGGACATGGTTTTAATGGCACATGTTGATTCGATCAAGGCAGATGACGAGCAAGTTTGGGTCTTGGACAGTGGCTGCAGTAACCACATGTGTGGTTCGAGGGAGTGGTCCATCGAGTTTGATGGGAACTACAGACAAAATGTGAAGCTGGGAGACGATAGAAGGCTGATGGTAGAGGGAAAATGAGATCTCCGACTCAAGATCAATGGGTTGACGCAAGTTATCACCTCGGTTTAATTCGTACCTTGAGAAGCAACCACCTAAGCATGGGACAGCTTCAGCAATAATGGTTAATAATCATTATTGAAGATGACGCATGTGAAGTGTGGCACAAGCAACAATAGAAGATGATCATGCACTCAATTATGTCGAAGAATGGGATGTTTATCATACTTGCATCCATGAAGGGAAGGAGAGAAGATGTGGACTCAAACTGCTTACAAGTCACAGACGAGAACAAGAGTGAGCTCTGGCATAAGAGGTTTGGGCATTTGAGCTACAAAGGTATACAAATGCTTGCTGGAAAAGGAATGGTAGATGGCTTGAATAAAGATGTGGGCGAAGGTGGTGATGAAGCCGTGTGTGAGGTGTGCATAAAAAGGAAGCAAAATCGTGAAAACATACCAAAGAAGAGTACATGGAAAGAAAGCAGAGGACTCGAACTGGTGCATACTGACATTTGCGATCCAATCACACCAACTTCAGAAGGAGTAAGGAGATATTTGATCAACTTCATAGACGACTACAGCAGAAAGTGTTGGACCTTTTTCTTGACAGAGAAGTCTGAAGCCCTCAAAAAATTTAAGCACTGGAAAACAGCAGTGGAGAAGGAGATAAGAGAACCATTGGCATGTCTGAGATCAGCAGAGGCGGTGAGTATAACTCCACATCATTTTAGGAGTATTGCAGAGAGAACGGAATCAGGAGACAATTGACTGCAGCTTATACTCCACAGCATAACAGAGTAGCCGAGAGGAAAAACATGAGCATTATGAACATGACAAGATGCATGTTGATCGGTATGGGAGTTCCAAGAAGATTCTGGCCAGAAACTGCTTCCTATGCAGTACGTATTCTGAATCGAATTCCAGCTGCAATCCTAGGAGATATCACACCACCAGAGAAGTGGAGTAAGCAGAGGCCATCAGTGGAACATCTCAAGGTCTTTGGGTGTGTTGCGTATGCGCTGGTACCTTATGAGGAACGCATCAAACTGAATGAGAAGAGTAAGAAGTGTGTTATGTTTGAGATGAGCAAAGAATCAAAGGCATATCGCCTTTATGATACATAAACTAAAAGAATTGTGACTAGCAGATATGTCAAATTCGATGAAGAGAAGAGATGGAACTGGGAAGAAATCAAAGAAAATGAAAAGTTGTCAATGGATGTGGTGATGAGTGACTCTGAAGAAGTAGGATAACAAGTCACTCACACTGAGAACCAAGATGAAAGGGAAAAAGAAAACAACGAAGAGGAGAAAGGAGGAGATGCAGAGGAAGAAGCTAATAGTGGACATGTTCGTAACAAAGGAACAATGATCAAACAAACTCATGTTTAGATGAAGTATTATGTAACTGATGGAGTGAAGCTAGTTATTGAGGAAGAAGGGGAAAAGTTTATGGCTCTGTTTATTGCAGCAGAAGAGTCTGAAAAGTACGAGGATGCATCACAACATGAAGTATGGAGACAGGCGATGGAAGCTGAGATTAATTCAATTGAGGAGAACAACACTTGGGAACTGGTGGAGCTTCCTGAAGAAGCCAAGGTCATTGGAGTAAAAAGGGTTTTTAAAACCACGTTCAATGAGAAAGGAGAGATTGAGAAGTTTAAAGCGAGACTTGTGGCTAAGGGGTACCATCAAACCCAAGTTGTTGAATTCCACGAAATATTTTCTCCAGTTGCGCGATGGGCCACTATAAGGACACTACTTTCTCTAGCGGCTCAAAGAGAGTGGGAAGTCTTTCAGTTAGATGTGAAGAGTGCATTCTTGCACGGTGAGTTGAATGAGGAAGTGTTTGTGAAGCAACCACAAGATTTCGAAATCAGAGATGCATAAGACAAGGTGTACAAGCTAAGAAAGGCTCTTTACGGCTTAAGGCAAGCCCCCAGAGCATGGTACAGCCGCATAGAAGGGTATTTTATGAAGGAAGGCTTCAAGAAGTGCTATTGTGAGCATAAACTCTTCATTAAGGCGAAAGGAGGAAGCATTTTGATTGTAAGTCTATATGTTGATGATATAATTTACACAGGAAATTCATGTGAAATGTTGAATGAGTTCAAAGAGTCAATGAAGAAGAAGTTTGCAATGACTAATCTAGGAAAGATGAAGTTCTTTCTAGGAGTTGAAGTGGTGCAAGATGAGCAAGGGATTTTTATCACTCCGAAAGAAGTATGCAGAAGATGTCTTGATGAAGTTCGAGATGAGTGAGTGTAACTCGGTGAAAAATCTCATGGTTCTTGGACAGAAACTGACTAAGGAAGGGTCGGGTTCAGCTGTGGATGCTACACGATTCAAGCAACTGGTTGGAAGCCTGAGATACTTAACTGCAACAACGCCTGACCTGATGTTTTCGGTGAACCTAGTCAGTCGCTATATGGAGGAGCCAAAGGATGAACACATGCTAGCAGCTAAGAGGATATTAAGGTATGTTCAAGGGAAAAGCTCATACGGTATCATGTACAAGAAAGGAGGATAACAGGCGCAGCTGGTTGGGTACGTTGACAGTGATTATGAAGGAGATCTTGATGATAGGAAAAGCATATCTGGATATGCTTTCATGCTGGGAGGAGGAGCTGTGTCATGGACCTCTAAGAAGGAAACGATTGTGACTTTCTCAACAACAGATGCGGAGTTTGTTTCTGCATCATATGGAGCTTGTCAAGCTATGTGGCAGAGGAATGTGCTAGAAGAAATGGGGTTTTCTCAAAGGGAAGGAACAGTGGTCTACTGTGACAACAGTTCCACGATCACTCTCCAAGAATCCTGTTCAACATGGTCACAGCAAGCACATCCATGTGCGATTTCACTTCCTCAGTGACTTAGTGAATGAGAGAGTCA